TGCTGCATATCAACTAGCTTAGAGAGTGACATTTGTTTAGATTATTCCCTTGCATCAGAGGGAAACCTGCATCTTTGTTCCCATCGCTGCTCTGCCTCAGCTGTAGCTGAGGTTGCCTAATTTGAACCCATCAAAGTGATCTTCCCTGCTACTCTCTCCAAGTTACAGTGAAGTTTATATCTGCTCTGCCCATGGCTGCTGTCCTGCAGACGAAAGACTGGAACGTGTGTCTGCAAGCGTGTTTAAACACTGTCACTCTCTTCTCTTGCAGCTACGAGCCAGAGTTGTTTCCTGGCTTAATCTACAGAATGATCAAGCCAAGAATTGTTCTGCTTATTTTTGTTTCTGGAAAAGTGGTTTTAACTGGTAAGTGAAGACAGTATCTTATTCCAGTAGGTTAGATTTAGACTGTGTTACAGAGAACACACAATGATACCAGAGGTATGTAAGCTGCGAGGTACTTTCCTTTAGAGAAGACAGTACTGAGAAAGAACAGATAGTACAGTCTTCTGGGGATGAGAACACACAACGCAAACCACACGTTTGGTTAAATCCATCTAAGCAATAATCATGAATCCTAACCAAGTATGCAGGTGCCCAAAAAGCTGTAAGAGCGCAGGTAATGTTTCTGGCAAGATCTGAAGGTCTGTTTCTGTGTGCTGGGTATGTGTGACTGCATTAACTGTTCTTTGGCAGCTTGGCTGGAGGCTGCTGCCATTCTCCTTTGATACAGCAGCCAAAGAAGGGGAGATACCTGAGCTCTAGGACCTCCTCAACCTCAGGCACTCCACCTGAACCCTTTCCTTTTCCCCTTGTGCTGAGTCTTACTATGGAGAAAAAAACCCACGAGAGTCGCAGACAAAAGAAGGAGCATGTTCCTGCAGCGTGGCAAGTGGTGGGCCCCTGCAGCCGTCTCCATTGCCAGACCTTGCTCCCTAGATGTTCATGCTCTCAGAAGAAACTCCACCAGTTAGGCCTTTCTGCAGAAACATCCTGTAGGCTGTGCTTTGTAGTTGGGTCTCCTGCAGAAATTATGTCTAGAAAAATCCCATTTGCAAATATAGCATAAGCATGAAAATGCTAATGAAAGTTTTACCAGTTATCAGAATAAACAGCGAGAAGGCTGGTAACGTATGCTCTGTATGAAAGGTGTATTAAAAAAAGAAAAAGATGGTAAAAATAGGGATTTATAGCTATGCATAGGTTTTATATAAAGTCGCATTCAAACAAACATTCTAAAAGCTAAAAGTAAGTATTTGGTGAAAAGTACAAACTAACTTAATTCCCTCCCTTTTTCTAGGTGCTAAAGTACGAGCAGAAATCTATGAAGCGTTTGAAAACATCTATCCTATTTTAAAGGGATTCAGAAAGACAACGTAACAGTGTCTACAGCTTTCAGAGAAATCAGGGGTATATTTTAAAAGATATTGCGTATGGCACAGCAGTAACAAGAGATGGACTTCCAGTGAAACTGCACCAACAGGACTTGGACTATTTCCCAGTTAGTGCCTACTTCCCTGATGCTGAAGGGGAACTGTATTCTTGATTATGTCTACTGAGTTACTGTGAGTTGCTTTACTGGGCTGTTCCTGGAGCAGTCCCTCCAAGTTTTATTTATATTCTAGCTTTTAAATAGTTTTAATGCCAGTTCTATTAATAGAAAATCCATAAATTGGTTTAAAAGACAAATGCAACTGTGTCACTCAGTGTATAAACCACTTAAATTGCCATGTATATATGTTTTAACTTCCTTCCATAAGACCACGGTTTTTATAATTTTCAGAACATAAGCTTTTAAATTTTTTCAATTTTAAATTTCTTTGGTGCCAGACACATTCCCTCTTTCCAGTATTAAGCAAGGCAGAATAAATTTATTAATGAAAATGGCTCACTGTACATATATATATAATATATACCTTCCTTCTCTTTCCTCCTTCAGCTCCACATGTACAATAAACCCTGTTTATACAATTACGGGAACTGTCTTAATGAATTTTAAAATTACTGAGCTGGTAGAGTGAAACACATTGAAAACTTTTTTTTTATTATTTTAAATTTAATCTGGATTTTTCAGTAGCACATGCACTACTGTAAGTGACTTGTCGTTTTGGGAGAATCTTAACAATGCTCTGGTTTGCTTACCAGCACTCATGTCCTTGGCAACATCTAGTTTGAATATTTCTAGTATGTTAAAGCAAAAGAGATGACCGGTTAAAGAAGTTTGCGTTCAAGTATGTGTTGCCTTATGTTCAACAGATGGGATTTATGCAAGTCTTAAATAGCTACACTTGATTGAATTGGAACAAAAGATCCCTGCTTAGCTTCTAAAATTTCTTTAAATTACTACTTTTTGTATTTTGCCAACTATGACAGTCTCACTATAGTAGTGTTCCTGTAAAATGTCAAAGCCCTTCCGACTACAGTCACTATGTACATAATCTTCCCTCTGAAACTGTGCTTGAAGCTTAACGGGCTGAGAACTAAAAATAAACTCTTTTTTTCTTCCAGTAAATTTCCAGTAATAGTAACTTCCTTTCTATGACTTGCACATTCTTTCAACCAGCTTTTATCTAACCCAAATGTAACCATGGTCTCTCTTTATTCAGGTAATGTTTCGTTCCAGACAAAATGAGGTTTTGGCTGGCTTTATTACTGCTCCGTTTGCAAATCCTGAGTGACCTTAATCCTTGGTCATCTCTACTCCCCTCATAGTGGCGTACGCTGGTGTTTCTCCAGGTGTTTCAGTAACTGGTTTCATGGATTTTTATCAGAAAGCTGCTATTAAATAATATAACTTTGCCAGGGTAAGTTCAAGATGCCCAAATACTGCTTTGCCTTCAGTGCCACACCACTCTGTGCTGTGAGCTAATGAATGTTCCTGAGCGCTCTTGAACATAACTGTATGACTGCCTGTGCTTTTGCAGGACCCTGAGCTATTACCAACTTACCTGCAAAACTCTTAACTCTGCAGGAAAACTTGGAGCCTTAAGTAACTGTATTATAGTGATTTAAGATACTGTTTGCTGTTCCATGACATATACCAATGCTTAAAACTCCCCTTTTAGAAGTTAAATTATGCGCAAAGCATTCCCTGCCTGCTCATTTGAATACTTCGAACTTCTAAATACCAAAACCCACAACAGTTGGCCTAGGGCTTTCATAAAATCACTTTCAGAATCACTGGTAAGCAGACATGAATGGTTTGAGCAGGATAAGGGAATACGTAACAAGTAAATTCTATACTGAGACACACACAAAAAAAGTGCCTCATCTTTATTCCTGTGGCTATAGCTATGTTTGCAGAAGTTAGGCAGCTGCCACAGTAAATTCAGCATTATGGCTTCACTTTTCTCTTGCTTCAGCTGTATGGTAGTCAAATAGCAGAAAGAATCCCTGCAGAGGGCACTTATTTTTAAACCTCACCAAAGGTGGCAGACTGAAGGTACAATTCAGCTTGAAAAAGCTGTTGCTACAGACAGTAAGTGATGAGACAAATACGTTCAGGTATGGCTGGCTTTGTTTACACTGCTTCTGCACCAGTCCCATGCAGAAATAGTTTAACTTAGTTCATAGTTTTAAGTTGGATAAAACAATTTTTGTATATTTGATCTTGAATAACGACTCAATCAGAACATGTAACAACTGCCAGGTTAGATTCAGTATACCTTTTGAGAAAGAAGGGGAGTTAAGTTCCACAGTAAAAGGCTACACAACTGTCATAGCTATGACTTCTGTACACCTCCTGAGCATAAGCACGCAAGTGATCTTACAGTACTCTGCTTTTTCTCTGTGAATGAATGTTAACTTTTGAGTAGCAAAGAAAACCCCGACAGACAACAATCTAAGTTCTTGAACTTCCGTCGCCTACAAAAGATACTTTCACTCATCAAAAAATATTTAATCTTTATTTAAACATTCAGAACTGAGATTTGAAGTGAAATTCACTGAACAAATGCATCTGGCTTCATTACCAGGTTGAAGTAAAAGCTCCTGTGCAGCAAAAGAGAGAGGCTGTCAAAGTCTACTTTTAGTGGTCCTATCGCTGTTACAAGATACACAGTTATGAATGACTTCAGTTCAATTACTTGTTCACAAAGTGCAGAAATGCACTGAAACAAGGCAAGTGTTCTATTTAGATGACTCAACTTAGTAACTTGATGGAAGTTAAATAGAGCCTGCAGAGAAGTCTTGTTTCCATATGAACTCTTCAGGGTATTCATTTCCCTCACCGCAGTTGTCAGCACAAGTGTACACCACCAGCGTCCCCCAGTCAATGCTCTCTCCAAGGCTGTCAACCTGAAGGTGGTTCAGGAGCTGTGGCATAATCTTCAAGGAAAAACAACGGTTTAGAGGCAGGCCACAGCTCTCTACCCTCTCCCCGCATCTCTCCCCAAAGAAGGGTCCTACCGTCATTTATGTTCTCTTACACCAAAATCCCAATCGTAGCTACTAAGTAACACAGCAGCTCAAGTGAAATACACTTGGAATTCCTGGAACAGTGTAGTAGATGCACGGGGAATGAAAGGCATGGCCCCACTTACTTTATGTATAGAAGTTTTATTGACTACACATTGCCTGATTTGTGAGCCTCGTTCCGTTTGAAATTACCTTCATAACTATGTTTTGCCTTTGCATGACATTAAGCGTACTCACCATACATATGCTTCTGGCATTCAAAATTCTACAGCTGAATACTGCCAGCTACACATATTTCCAATTCACACTGTGAAGACTTTTTTTTTTGAAATACAATACCAGAACCCCTATTACTTAAGAGATGGTTGCATTTTCACAACTGCACCATTTTATGGATGGTGCAAATTACCAGATGGGAACCTGCCTTCTGTATGTGGAAGTCTCATAGGAAAAAGCAGTTACAATAGTAAATAAGGGCTCTCTACAATTTAGCACAGTTAGTTTAAAGTAACTTTAACTACCTTGCTCTAGGTACAAGCCAACGCCTATATTAGATGCTGTTAAGTCTGAGCTACGTTACCTATATTATCTTTAAATGAATTTACATACCTGGAATTCAAAAATCCTTTTGGCACCACATGAACAATCTGGAATATCTTTTTCTTCAGGAATATTTTCACCTGATACCCAGATTGGGCCTTCTCCTCCTCTACAGTATCTAATAACCTGAAATAGAGCAGAAGTTTAAGTTCTCAAGACTGTCTTTTCATCTTGATCTAACAGTGGTATTTACTGACATAGACAAAGCTGTAAGATGGTGCAGAAAAAGGTCAGTGCCTTTAACTAATACCCATGGCAAAGTCTATCAGTTGCAAATGCGGTATTCTAAATAAGACAGGTTCTTCACACAAGTTTTCTTAAGTATTTGAATCATGCAAGTATTCCCACAGCATTTTTTAAGTGATCCAGGGATAAATGGCAGTGATTTGTATTTCTCTAATTAAGGGACCCAGAAATGCTAAGTCATGTATTTTATAGTCTTGAGATGGAAGAAGAGCTTGGATTGATAATTAGCACATAGAAGCATACAGAAAAGTCAGGAATGCAACCCAGCTCTTTCTGTTTGCAGTTCTGCATCTAAATGCAAGGGGACTGTCCTAACGTCCCAGAAGGAGGTATTTTCAGACATTTATATCCTTTGTTGTTCTGTTACTATCTAAATATTTATATAGCACATCAGGCACTATCAACAGGAGGACACTTAGACAGATCAGTCAGTATGGGGATGGTCAGAGAGGGAGATGACACACCTACCCCAAGGAGAGGAGAGAACAGCCTCAAAAGTCCTGCTTTCTGGGTGTGCACCTTAACCCCTCAGTTACCAGGTAAAACATGGAGAGAATTTCTTCTTCCTCCACCACTTTCATGGATTTAGGCTTGTGTTTCCTCTGAATAGAACCAGGAATCACATTTTTGTTTGACAACGTGGCTTTTTTCATCCTTTTGCGTTAGCAAGAAATGAGGGGGAGGGAGAGATTTCTGTTTTAAACAGTTGATATTTTAAAGTCATTGCTAATTTCTTCAGCCTTAAAAAAAGCCAAACCAACCCCTCCGGCAGCTGGTGACACTGACAGAGCTCCTCTCTGCAGTTTTGGTTCTGCTGAGAAGGAAAGCCAACAAGGCCAAAGGCTGGGGAAGACAGCGATGGTTCACCACCTCCTTTGGTTAGAACCACATCGCAGGATGGCACTCCTCCCCCTTCAGCTTCAGCATCCCTGTGCCTTCCTATCCTGACCAATTTCTGTTTGAGATAGATGAGCAAGTGCTAAATTCTTACTTCAGCATGAATCAAGTTCTGTGCATAAAGAACATTAGGGTATGTTGGTTAAGGTGTGTGGAGGATGAGGAGGCATCCCCATTTCTAACTGTAGGCACAAAAGGCAGCGAGACATTGTGCAGGTGCAGCAGAATGCTGTGCCAGAACCTGTAAGTTCTAAGGCTGCCCCATCTTCTGACCTGCTCTGGTTCGGCAGCTACTCGCTCTTTAAACATTTGGAAGATCTTGTCTTCTTCAGTCTCATGTTTTGCCATTGCTTCCAATGTCTCTTCATCTAAGGATGCTAATGCTTCACCTAAGCAAGAAAAAAACCCACCCTGTGGTTACAGGCTAATGCAAGACAGCCAAAAATGAAAAACAGTATTGTACCTGTAAGTGCATTTTACTCTCACGTATCTTTCCCAGCGTAAATCACCAAGACTTTTTTTTTTTTCTTCTTTTTGTGACATATTAAGACTCAGTCACACACAGATCCATTTAGTTTTAGTTGCATTTTAAACGTAGATGTCAGTAATGGAACACTGGAAAGGGAAGAAGGCAGCCCACCAAAATTTATGGCTCCCAGCAGGGATGC